TTTGTTTTGGGGGGGGGGGGGGGGTTTATGTTTCAGGCATTGAATGCCAGCATCGTTTAGAATTTGGGTCACACCATCGAGAAATGAGTGTCTCAGAGTCTGTGCTAGTTAACTTGCATTGCAAAATATGGTTTTCTCAATCTCAGTTTAGTCAAAAAGTTTTTATTTATTTTTTCTTCTATTCTGGTGTTGGCAACGCAGGATTTCGTGGTGTTCCTTTATTTTCATTTGAGTCTGATTTGATTTGTTCTGCTCTTGTATCTCTATTGAACTTGATATCACTGCATAGGTTTTGCAGCTGAGTTTCGATATGTGGTTCAACTGATCCATATCTCATGGTTCATTTGGGGTGCCATGTTGTAATGAGTAATTTGTAGTTGACATCAATATGTGAATCGTGTCCTATGATCCTATCTGTCAGATATTTACATATGTTTTCAAATTTTTAAGTTTATTCTGTGTCTTGTGGGAACATGATTAGGGCCATAATGGATAGAGAAGGAAAAGATAAACGTTCCTTATATTTGTTACATTATTATACAATAGAATGCGTTGACACGCCTGTTTCTAGTGTCATTTCTATGCTAGAGTTATTTGCTTATTTTTTGATAACTATAAATTTTTGTGTACACGTGCATGTTCAAAAGCTCATATCTTAATGATCACATTTGAATAATTGGCATGGGGTTTGTTCAATGTGCAAAATTATTTAATGAATATTACACTTTCAGTTTCAGAGTCAAGAATGTCTAAAGAAGTTATTGCTACTCCGTCAGCTGCTCCTTTTGAGTATGAGATATTGGATAGTGATGCTGAAATCCTTAGAACTGTTAAAGCCTCATCCAATAGCGCAAATCCATGGATTGAACCTGAAAGGTTGAAAATTAGACACAGAATTGGTCGTGGCCCCTTTGGTGATGTTTGGCTAGCAACTCATCATCAGTCAACCGAAGATTATGATGAGTACCATGAAGTTGCTGCTAAGATGTTACATCCACTCAGAGAGGATCATGTGAAGATTGTATTAGAGAAGTTCAATGAATTATATTTGAAGTGCCAAGGAGTTGCTAGTGTTTCCTGGCTACATGGAATTTCAATCCTAAATGGAAGGGTTAGATTTGGACTGTTCATTTGGTTCAGCGTGTAGGAGATTTTTAGGTATCTTTTTGACTTCTATCTGGCTGACATATTTGTTTGAGTTCTCAGATATGCATCATTATGAATTTGTACGAGGGTTCAATTGGTGACAAGATGGCGCGACTCAAAGAGGGAAGGATTTCGTTGCATGATGTTTTAAGGTGATGTGTTTTCCGTTTATTCAATGAAATACACTTATCCTTTTCTTTGTGTAGGAAGAGGAGGAAAATAATTGGTTGATACTATGGGCGTGTTACTGGCTGCAGGTATGGAATCAATCTGGCTCAAGGTGTTATTGAACTTCACTCTAGAGGGATCCTCATTCTCAACCTTAAACCATTTAATGTTCTTCTCAATGGTAACGATCAAGCAATTTTGGGAGATGTTGGTATTCCCACTCTTTTGCTTGGCTCCTCATTCCAAAGCTCAGATATGGCTAAGAGACTTGGAACTCCAAATTACATGGCTCCAGAGCAATGGGAACCAGAGGTCAGAGGTCCTATATCCTTTGAAACAGATTCTTGGGGATTCGGTTGCACCATTGTGGAAATGTTGACTGGTAGTCAACCTTGGTATGGATGTCCTGTTAGCAGAATATTCCAGTCGGTTGTTGAAAAGCATGAAAAACCCAATATTCCAAGTGGCCTTCCTTCTTCAGTTGAGAATATCCTCAGCGGATGCTTCGAGTATGATTTGAGGAATCGCCCTTTAATGGTGGATATTCTGAGTGTCTTTCAAAGGTCTGTATATATACTTTTTAATATTTTCCTTAAAAAATGCTATGACTGTGTAAGGTTTTGGATAATTTCATAATTATAGTTCTGTTGGGTCTGGCACATGTTATATAGTTGCATCCGTTTAGTGTGAGAAGGTCCAGTACAGGGAGTGTATGCTTTTATGAGGATTCTAATCTTTAGCATACAACCATAAATGAATGGTCAACATTAGCTCCTCTTATGTGGCCACTGGATACAACTGATCCCATCATCTAGACTAACTTCTGGATCACAGATTCTCTATCTCATGAAAGTTTCTTACCCATGGTTGCATGCCTTACATTGTGGTCTTTAAGATCATCATCATATTTTTGGATCATAAACTTTGAATATGAGGACATTTTGGAAGTCCATACATGATAACATGAGACCATTTTTTCTGGTATATCAGAGTCATGTATTTTTTCTGTAGTTGTTCAGAGCTAGTTGTTAAATTTTAATAATTTTTTCTAAGGCTTCTGAACACCATTTTTTTCTCTGCTGCCCTCTCCAGTGTCGTGATTCTACTTTTTTGTTGCCATGGAATTGCAGTGTTAATGATTCGGTCTTTTGACATGTATTTCATGCTTCATCATATGTTCAGTCTATGTTTGTTTCTGAAATATAGTATCAACTATCAAGAGAAAGGCCTTGTGGAAATTATAATATCTTTGGATCTAGAGCTCAAACATGATCAAATGATTTATTGCTACTGGTGCATTTTTTTGTCTTCACTAGGACGAATTAACATGTTTTCTCTACATTTGAGTTGACATTACAGTCATTAAAAGTTCACTAATAGGCATTTAGATGGAGAATTTCTATGATAAGTCTAAGTTAATGTGAAAAGTTCCATGAATTTTATGAACATCCTCAACTGTTTTACAAGTGAAAGTAAATTATTTTTAGGGATACTTCTTTAGGATAGGCACTTGATATGCAGGCATTTAAAACAAAGTTGTCAAACTATCTGCTGTAATGTGTGTCTTCCACTTGTTGGGTTGTGTGCCAGTAAGCTACAACATGTATTCATTAAATACTTTCAAAGGTGTAGCTTGATAAGATTCCTATTAGTAGCCAGCCGAAGTAGGAAAGTATATGTTAGAAGGAAAAGTCTCAAAGAATCAAGTGGCTTGCATCTATTTGTTAGGCCCTGTTATTTGGTTAGCTCTCTAACTGAATTAACAGAGGTAGGAATAGAATGGAGGAAGATAATGTAAGTGAATTAAGTTAGTTAGTCAGTTAGTTTTGGGTGGTGGGAGATACCGGACTTAATTTCTGGAGAAGACACGATTGTACATCATTCTTGCTCTTCCTGATGCTAGATAGCCTGATCAAGAGTTGGAGGAGTATACTCAATAAAATTTACTTTCTATTAGTCTCTGTACCAGAACCTATCATACTCTTTCAAAAAATCAAGAGTGTATTAGCAAATCCTTGTGTTCTAAATTTTCTAGTTATATGAATTTTTTATTCCCGGAAGGATGAAAATTGTCCGTAAACATAAGATATATGCTGATTTACCAGATCATGATTGCAATGGTCCCGAAGGGAAACTCAAATAGTGGTATGCCTTATGCTAGTAAAAAATTATGTGGGACATGATGGTACAATAATTAGTTTTTGTACATTTTCTATGTTAAGAAGTGGTATTAGGAAAATCTATCATTAATATAATTATTTATTTTTTAAAAATGTCATAAATCAATTACAGATATGTACACCACCATGTAACATTGTGAAATATTCAGTTGACTAGAAGAAGCGCCAATGCATAGCATTTATTAAACTCATCTATTGTAGCTAGCTTCTAACTTCTGAATGCTTGATTGTGAAATCTGGACATTAAGTAAGGGAAGCAATCAGTTGAGGATTAGTGAAACTGTTCTACATTTTTGCTTCTACTAATCAGTAATAGTGCATGTACCAGAAAGAAAGAACCACATCAATAATCTTTTATAATAACATGGAATTGTCTGTATTTAAGAACAGCTATCTTTTTAGTTAATTTCTATTTCTATTTATCTCCATGAAAATTAGATCTTTTGAATTTTACTCAATTGTTGATCATTCTGCCCTGCAGTGCTCTGAATGAACAGACCAACGATGAAGGATGGAGATACCTAGGAAATCTCAAAGTCATCCCGAAATCAGGTAGCACTGACTGCACAGAGTGGTTCCTCTCAAAGGATCATCTTCAGGTGGGTGACATGGTCCGGTCTAGAAAGCCTTTTAATTCACGCACATCTCAAAACATGAACATCCCAGAAGGAACCGTCGTTGGTTTAGAGCGTATCCCAGATAACAGGTTCCCTCTCGTGAAAATCCAAGGTATCCAAGACCCTGTCAGAATTCCCGCATCATATCTCAAACGTGTCACACTCGGCCTGGCAGCCGGCGATTGGGTACGCTTGAAGGACGAAAATGAGAAGCACTCGTCAGTCGGTATTCTACACACCATTGACCGTGACGGTAGAGTGGCTGTCGGGTTTCTTGGGCTGCAAACTATCTGGAACGGAACATCTGACGAACTTAAAATGGCAGAACCGTACTGTGTGGGCCAGTTTGTCAGGCCAAAAGCCGGCGTTTTGAGTCCTCGGTTTGAATGGCGCCGCAAAAGGGGAGGAGCCTTTGCTGCTGGGAGGATCTCATGGATTCTTCCAAATGGGTGTTTGGTGGTCAAGTTTCCAGGAATGCTGCCCTTTGGCAATGAGCCAAGCACCTACTTGGCTGATCCATCTGAGGTTGAAGTGGTGGAGTTTAGGACATGTCCTGGTGTGATAGAAAAGTACCAACATGTGGAGGATCATCACTGGGTAGTTAGGCCTCTTCTGATTGCATTTGGTCTATTCACTGCTTTCAAATTTGGCATATCAATTGGAAACAAAGTGAGGAGGAACAACAAGGTCAGTGCAGTAGAAAGTGAAAGTCAACATGTTGAAGCTAAGAATGTCAACTCTGCTATAACTGCAAAATCTCCCAGTGCTGTGAATTCAGGCAACAAAACATGGGTTGTTCCTGCGGTTGCTAATATGCTTTTTAAGGAAGGTGGTGGTAACACAACCAATGGTCGGTAGTTTTTTTTTTTAATTTTTTGTGTTTCTTTTTATCTCAGAACAGTTAAAGTAATAAACATGATTTAAGATGGTAGGTAGTAATTATACATGAATGTCATCAGGGCTGGGTCTGAATGTAGACACTGTACATATTCTACAACAGGATTAGCTCTGTGCATAGTCTGCGCCAATGCTTTGCAGAATGAACACAAAAAATTCGTTATCTGCTTCCTGATATTTTTTTTTGAAAAAAAATGAAGGGTAGGACTTAGGAGCGAAATAAGCAATGAATCAAGATGCACCTACGTGTTGGTTCTTGAAGCATTGATAATTTGATATAAGTTTTCGTGTTTCTTTCTCCTTCTCCTCCTTTTTTTTTTTTTTTTTTTTTTTTTTTTTTTTT